GTAAATTTTATTACGTAAAAAAATTAAAGTCATACACAAAATTATCATAAATTTTATAGTGATTTAATCAGGAAATTTACTAAAAAATGAAAATATTGATTCTTCGTTACTCATTTATTTATTTATTTATTTATTTATTTATTTATTTATTTATTTATTTATTTATTTATTTAGTTTTTTTTTCTTTACATGGTCTTTTCAGATAATGATGAATAATTATCAATTATATAAGAAATGACGTAACAATTATTACTAGAATATTTTTCTTTTTATCACGAATTTAATAAATTTTATTAAATAAAATCATAAAAATCAGTTTAAAGGTTTTCATGAATTTTATGTTTCATTTGATCGAGAAAATTAATTGAAGAAAATGAAAATAAGTCGTTTGGTCATATTAAATTTTTACAACTCATTCATTTATTTATTCATTTTATCCTCGCAACGAATTCTATTATAATCGAAATTACAAAACAAACGCGACTCGTTTATTTCTCGTTATTCGTTTAAAATCGAGAAAACTTTCGACGTCTGTCAAAGGATTGACGTATCATGAAGGACATTTTGACGTTGGCGACGTTTTTGCTCGCGACAGAATTCGTTCTTTTGGAGGATCCCAATCGAAAATCGGGAAACGTGTATCATGGTAGGTAAGTGCGTGTTCATTTACCAGTCACCATATATATATATATATATATATATATATATATATATATTTACATATATATATTTATTTTTTTTTCATACGAGAAGAAAAAAGATTTCGACCGACACAGATTTCGTATCATCATTTCATTCGTGCTTATTCGAACGAATTCAACGATAATCTATCCTATTATATGTTTCGTACACGTGTATTTGGCATTTCCATGACAAATGCGTACTGGTCCTGTTTCTCTATCTCTCTCTCTTTTTCTCTCTTTCTTTCGGCATTATTTTTTTTTTTTTTATCACTTTATTTTATCATCAAGCAACATTCGCTTGGAATGTATCGATAAGGATATTTAGACGTCCTTTCTTGTTCGATTTTTTATTATTTTATTTTTTTTATTTTTTTTATTTTTTTTTTTCATATTTATATTTACATCTATTCCGAATCATAGATAATATCTATTGAATTTATGGATGACATATACATAATTTAAGAATTATTAAAATCAATTTAGAAACAAACGAACAAAACAAAATGTTATCCATT